CAAAGTCGATGTGGACACCTGACACTTTCGAATGATCTAAAGGTTGTTTGGTTGGGTACAAACCAATTCTATAAGGCGCATGGGCATATCGAATGGGCACACGAGGGGGTCGTGCCAAATCCAATGGGCACACCGAACGTGGGTACCAAATCCATTGGGCACTCATTCATTCGAATGGGCACACCACTCAATCCAATGGTATATCAACCGAATCCATCGAGAAAATGTCCAAGTCAATTGAAAAATGGTGTATTAATACGTATTAATAGTAGTAGTATTATCAATAATAGTACAGTGTACAAGGTACCTGTGATACTGTAGTGCAAAACGATACTTAGTATACGAACAACAACAGAATTCATACTGGACGTGACACAATCGATATAAAGGTTTGCATGGTTGGCCCTGAGCTAAAAGATGGAACTGTGGAGATCATGTCGACAAGGTGTGGGACATAGGGATAGCTATTTGGGGTGGGGGTTACCCGAGGTTGGCGGTGCATACGGACGGGATGTGAACCGTGGCAGCCTTCTACGGCCTACACCATGTACGCTTGCACCGCCAACGACACGTCCAGGCGCCTTCACGTTTGATGGTTGTTTGACAAGGTCCCACAAGTCGTCTACATGCATCACGTTCCTCGGATTAGATGAATGTGCCCATCTACATGACCTTCCTCGGCATGTGAGGCCAGGACGGTCGCTACGCATTTCGTACGGGTAGGCCCATGGTGAGGTGATGATATAAGGAGTCCAGGACCGCGGAATGAAATTTAGATGGGACGGAAAGGTTGCAGTGGCTTGCATGGAAGGACAGAGTTCAAAGACATGGGCTCTTGGCCTCACAGTCCACGACTTTCGACTCTGTCCTTCCATGCAGACAGTGAAATTTGTAGGTCGGGTTGCTTGTAGTTCTTGTGACTTGGGGCATGAAGCATGGTGGACTACCAGAGGGCAAGAACCATGACATAGGTTCTTGGTGCCGAATGGCATAACACGATATTTGCAGTAGAGCGGTTGGTCATGGAAGGAGCCCTTGAGGAGTCACGAAACGGATTCTTGATGTGAGTATGAAGCTCATGCGACTTGTCATGGCTCCTTCCAAGAGCTACACCCGACCTTGTGCACAATTAATGTCGGACCACGCCGTCCGGCACGGACCATCTAGAACGCCTCCTAAGTTCCTCGTACAGGTAACCAAGCGCCATGGCCAACATCTATCAAACCTCGCGAGACCAACCCATGGAGTTTGGTAGGTTAGGATGTGATCTGTCTGTAGTCCATGCGAGTAGTTCGGGGTGGGTTTCGTGGGAGTTGGATCGATGATCCGTGTCGTGGAGCTAAGTAGTGTATATACCAAGCATGTTCATGCCACGGATCATCGATCCTACTTCCAATGAAACGACCGAGAACAACTCTCATGGCCCTGGCCTTCCCTATAACCGCCAAACGCGTAGGATGCGACCGCTGTGGCGCGGGTGGTTGTGGGGCTCGTTGTGGGAATTGTGGTCATGGGGGTATCAATCGAGCCCGGGGCGTCAGTCGTCGCATGTGCTACGTCGTGACTAGGGTCAGCGCGTTGCGCGCATTTCACAATGCATGTTGTGTTGCTGAGAGCCTTGTGATGCTCGAATCTCTCAGCAACACTACCAGCAAGATGGCTTATTGCGATAGTTGGTGTGCAAGTAAAAGCGTTTGCAGGTTGCGTACACAACGATGCCCAGTAGATTAATCTAGAATGCTACTACATGTCATGTAGTAGCATCTACATTAATGTACTGGGCATGGATTGGAGTTAGCGATAACGCTTTATGTGGATGTTGTAGATAAAGTAGTGTGTATGTATACAAGCATGCAGTTTTACGGTTTGTTTATGGCTTGCAACGTGTATGGGGTGAGACTGTGATGCAAGGGCCCAGCGACAGGATATGCAAGTAAGCGCTAAGGGCATCCCCACCGGTACGACTGTACAATCAGATTGTAAAATACCGTTTTACAGTTCTTGTATTTTGATTTTCGTCAACCCCAGCGGCATGGAATAGGATTTCCACGCGTACATCGTGAAAATAGAGGCAACACTCGCCAGTCACGACATTTTGAACTCGCTTACAATGTAGATAGCTTATGTTGTAGCGATGGAACACCCTAATGTTATGTACTACCGTAGTGGAATGCCAGCGCACCCCTTTTGTATATCCCGCCACAATAATTCAACGCACATCACCTACTTGCATACTAGTACTCCCTAATGTTAATGTGCTACTGCATTGTTCACATTGAGAGAGGGTATGCAATTAGGCGGTGTGATGTTGAATTATTGTAGAAGGGTGCCACAGAAGGGCATGATAGATGTTGACTATGTTGGTATTGCCCACCAATGCGACTGTATCGATCGAAACGATGAGGACTGTGGGTGGTGATGCAACTACTTCTTTTTGCATGTCCAACATACATAGCCTCTAGCACTTCCCTGTAAATGCACGAGATATCGTTGGCTTCAGGTAAAACTGGAATAAATGCGAAGCCTGAGTTTGTTTGGGTTTGGACTTTATCGAGATTGGCTGGGAACGACATGCCTCCGGTCTCCCATCTCCCCGATGACGTCACGAACTACGTGTTGCGGCCCAGTTAAGCATGGCGGCCCTCGCTGGCCCGACCAACTACAGCCACGCAGCCTTTGGCATCATCTGCAGCAACTGGGCCGCATCAAAGCATGACGTACACAAGACTATGCGGATGTTCATGTTCCAGTTGCTGGCAAAGTAGTACGTCATGTTACATACGACTTTGCCGACAGCTGGAGTGACAACGCAGCAACACCCGAACGACTTGATGTTCGTCGCGATGGTGGCAAGTGACACCACTACCACCACGATCACGACTACTGCCACCTCCACTGTCCCCTCATCATGACCTCTCGCAGCCCTGTGACCGCGTGCCCTCTTTGCGACTTGCGCCACCCTGTTCGCCACGTTGACCTCATCACTACTCGTGTCACTGTTGGCCCCGTCACCACGACCACCAAGGCGCCTACTGGACACCAACGACAAGCTTGAAGGCATACCCGCTAACGTAAGTACCCATGTACGCCCCTCTCCATCGAGGTCCAAATACTAGTACTAGTATGTGGTTAGCGATTCGCATACTACAATATAGATGGTACAACAATATTTGAGGTGTCCTGGTGCTTTTATATATACTCGGCAAACTTTTCATCAGACAGCGTGACGGTTAAGCTTTCAGCTCGTAAGGCAGAGGTTGCGGGTTCAAGCCCCGTTGAGGTACATAGTTTTTACATCGTACTAGTACACCTTTCCTTCAACGTGCCGTGTCCATTAGATAGGACCGAGCCAAATGACTATCAAGTCGTCTGAATACTGTGATAGTTTAGCGTCTAGCTATTAGGCCAGAGGTTGCGGGTTCGACCCCTGATTGTGGCATACTTTTTCACTCATTTTAATTTGAGCATACCTTGGTGTGAAAAGCACCCTCCTATTATATCACATGGCTCCGTGCATTGAATGAGGTTGTGCATGCTTGGATATTACCTTATATCTGCAATTAACGCTGTAGCCGTCAATGGCTGTGCGTTAGAAAGCTAAGCAGCCCATTCAAGAATTGACTGTGAATGCTGCAGCTTACTAGTACTGTATCACTAGTTTGATTGGCTAATCGCCATCATTGCATTGCGTCATAGACAGGCCGATCAATCTGATGATTGTCGCACATACGTTCCTTGCAGAATGGTCGAGGAACGCTCTTTGTGATCAGGTACATTAACCCATTAGGCCTCTGGACGAATTACACAGTTTTTGCTCAAATAGTGCAATATATTGGAATCATATCGAGATATTTCGCATTTTGTGCCTCAACTGACGATATATATACGATAAAATTATCTACTGACTCTTTGGCTGAAAGATTGACAACTGCACCAGTGATCAAGAAACCTCGTAATTTACTCATCTACTTGTCAAATATGAAGTTACTGATCAAATATGTAAATATAGAGGCATATTTCCATCGCTCTTGGACTCAAATTCTCGTTGGCTGTAAATTGTTCGCGTCAATCACAACGACAGCTCACATCCTCAAGAGTGCGTTCTAACCATTCCTTTAATCGTAACTCATAATTCATCTCTTTCATCTCCTGTGTACCATGCGTCTCAATGTGTCGTCTATGATGGAGCGCCTCCAGGACCAGACTGCCTCGGATATCCTCGACCTCCAGCAACGACCCGTTGCCTCCCCCTCCAGACCATCTGGTGCCTCCCCACCCGAACGACGTGGTGTCTCCCCCTCTAGACCATCTGGTGCCTCCCCACCCGAACGACGTGGTGCCTCACCCTCCAGACCATCTGGTACCTACCCACCCGAACGACGTGGTGCCTCCCCCTCCAGACCATCTGGTACCTCCCCACCCGTACGACGTGGTGCCTCGCCCTCCAGACCATCTGGTGCCTCCTCACCCGGACGAGGTGCTCGGTTGCGTGTAATAATCGATAATGTGGTTCACCCTAATCGATATGACAAAACTCTTTGCACTTCTTGGAGAACACGCCGACGATCTTATCTGCTGGCCCCTGGGCTTTTGTGACGGAGCTGGTGCCTGGCCTTTGGCTGCTCAATTACCTCGTGATACGCTCATCTTGTATATTTGCTCGATCGGTCGATATTTTATGAATTCGACTGGACTTGTGCTGCTCATGATACGGCCATCATATTGGTATATTTGTTCGATAGGTGTGATTATCTTCGAATTCGACCGTCCTTCCCCAGAGGTCGCTAGCTAGACCTTTGCTAGATTTTTTGTGACCCGTCACAAAAATGGTGGACAACTCCTACCGAACTAAAATTGTGCTCAAACCATCTGTTAATGACCACATGTTGACAGTGGGCGTCAGCATCGAGTGCCACTTCTTTCATACTACTACTGTAGTACTGTCTGTACCTACTGACGGGTTTACTCCTGCCAAAAGGGGAAAAGTTGAATATTTTAAAAAATATTGAAAAATAGAAGAATCTCAAAATACATCCGGAGTGTGCTGAAATCAACGAATCCAATTGGCTTGACATGTGAATTCACAAAAAAATGAGTTGATTACATTTCAGAATGCAAAATGGAAATGTCTATACTCAAGTCAAGACTAAAGCGTACTCAAACATCCAACCTACTAGTAGTAGTATATGTTAAGAAGCTTGCTCGTGTAAAGTGGGCCATGTATTCCGTCCTTCCCGACAAGTTTCAGTCTACGACATATACAACTGCGTCCATATCGATGAGAAGTGGCGCGACGAGGTTGTTACTTATGACCGAGAGGTCTTTGATGCTGGCTCTTCCATGCTGTCCCAGCACGACCTTGACCGACGAGTGATGTGTGACCTAGCGGCCCAGACGACAGCAGATTTTGAGATGAGCGACATGTTCAGTGCATAGGAATCCCTTTCCATCGAGGACTAGGGGTACTAGAACTCCTAGTATTCATTACTCCTAGTATAGGAGTAAATAATGTAGGTTTGACTAATGCTATATTATGTATTAATACATGTAGCTTCAGTATCGACGAGCAATATTAATATTAAAGAAACTTTTGTTAGTATATTATCTTACAATTAGTACGGGGAGGGGTAATTATTTATTATATTTATGAGGTCCGTGTTTTGGCAGCTCTTTTCTGTCCTTCAACACTTTTGAAATGGCATGAGTAAACCCGTCTGGAGGTACGGAGGGGGGGAATAGCTCAGGTGGTAGAGCATCGGTTTCTTTCTCAAAGGTCATGGGTTCGATCCCCAGCTTCCCCGGATTATTTCCGCTAGGATTTATCCATCCCTCCCCTGGGAAATCCGGATAACAAGGGCTGTGTACGAAGGACGAGGACCGAACTTCGAAGATGGTTGGTCGAAGCACGACCTATGAAGCGTTGGGCAAAGTAACAACCGAAGATTACACACGAATTCATAAAATATCGACCCATCGAGCAAATATACAAGATGAGCGTATCACGAGGTAATTGAGCAGCAAAAGGCCAGACACCAGCTCCGTCACAAAAGCGCTCGGACCAGCAGATAAGATCGTCGGCGTGTTCTCCAAGAAGTGCAAAGAGTTTTGTCA